GGGTCGATGAAGGAGAAGAAGATCATCGACCAGTTGGATTGACAAGGTGACTGTGGTGATGGTCGCTAGTGTGTCAGGAGGTGTGAGGATGCACAGGACAGGACAGAGATTAGTTGTTGATAGGATCTCTACTGATCATACTCAACAGCAACCAAAAACAAGTTACAATCTAGTCAGGCTACAGTTTTCCAGTCAGAACAGCTTCTCAACCCTTCCCATAGACACACCTCTCCCTGACCCTTAGCTTCTTGACCTTCAATTCTTCAGACCTTTTAGGTCAGCCTGGCCTCTGCCCTACTCAGGCAGATGTTCACAAGCCTTTTTACTACCAATAAGTGCCTGGGGCCATGTGACCCAACCGCTAAACCTGGATCTCAGCTTTCTCAAACCTTGGGCCAGCAAATCTAGCTCCCTTGACTAGTGCTAGGAGGCATTCTACCCTCCCAGGAAGCCTCTTGCCTGACTTGCTGGCATCCTGGTTCCACTGCACCATTTCTCTCCTAACACATGTGGACATGCCATCCTGAACCATCTCCAGTAATACTGTCCTTTCTTAGTCACTTGAATCCAGGCAGTTCTCATCACAGGATGCCAGGTCCAACAAGCATGCTGTGTTCTCATCTCTTCTTCTTGATGGTCAGGAGATTCCCTTGCTTCTGCCTCTGCGATGACTCATTTTAAGCCTGTTGTTGTCAGGGACCGTTGACTCAGCTCCAGCTCATAAACAGACCCTACGCACAGCAGAATGCAACCCTGCCCGGTCCTGTACTATCTCTGCTCTGCTCCAGCCTACTTATTGCAGTCACCATGTTGATCCATCTCATTAAGTGTCTTCCTCTTCTTGGCTGACCCTCCACTTTTCTAAGCACAATGTCCCTTTCCAGGAACTGGCCCCTCCTGATAACATGACCAAAGTAGATGGCTCCCCATCCTTGCTTCTCAGAAGCATCCTAGCTATACCGCTTCCAAGAAAGGTTAGTTGTTCTTTCGGCAGTTCATACTTTTTCTTTCGCAGTTCATGCTTTACTCAAAATTGTGTTTGCCAACACCACAATTTTTTCTTCAGTCTTTCTTATTCATGGTCTCATTTTCACATTCATATGAAGCAATTGAAATTTCCATGACTTGGGTGAGGCACACCTTAGTCTTTGAAGTGACATCCTTACTCTTATATTTTTAAAGAGGTTCTTGGCGGCAGATTTGCCAATACATAATTTGTTAATGTGTCTTCCTCTAATCCTGCACCACATTCTTCTTTATATACTATAGCTTCTTGCATTACTGACTCAGCATACAGAGTGAATAAGTATGATAAAAAGATACAACCCTGATGCATGCTTTTCCTGATTTAAAACTTGCATCTTGCTGTGGTGCTGGAACATATGTTACTGGTATTTCAAATACCAGGAGAGCTTCAAGACTAAGACTTTAAGCCTCAAGAACGGCAAAACTGACCAATTAGGATGGGATACACTTTATCTGCATGGTCCCTCACACACATGGCTGCCGTGTATCTGCATTATTATCAAACTCGCCAATCCCCTCAGTGGGCCACAAGCATCTTATTTACATAATCTCATCCAATCATTTGGTGGGAGTTACAAAATCACATCTAGATGTCAGAGACCTCCTTCCCCAACCCAACAACCACTCTATCCACTTCCCACAGAGAAAGGTCCTCCATGTACCCCAACCTGGCCTTACTGCCCAGGGGTGACAGAACTTCCACTGACATTTAGAGAAAGGATGTTGCAAGAAAATTTTCATCCCAGGAAGAAAGTAAAGGAATAGAGCTGGTGCACTTGAACTTCTGTTTTACTGAGTGGTCCCCACACCCCAGCAGGACACAATAGACTCAGTCTAGCTCCACAGCTGCCCCACAAGATGAAATGGGGATGTGCCGACGTCCTTTACTATCTCTATGGAAACACTGAAGTCCGTCACCCGTCTCTAGAGGTAAAAACCCAGTTCAGACTCGGGTGCTGCCCTGACTTTGTGACCACCGCACCTCCTCTGAGACCCTTCGCCAGACTCCTGCCACCATCTATCTCTCTCTATTGAGTTTACATTCTTAACAGAGCAATAGAGGAGGTGGGTGTGGGTTTCTCAGCAAGTCATCTGGGTGTGCCCAGTGCCCCATCTGAGCCTCTGGGCCCCAGACTGTGACCTCAGCTTCTTCTCTCCCTCATAGGCTCGTAGCTTTGGAGCAGAGGTCACCATGGGAGGGACAAGTAGCCAGGCACACCAGCAGAGCCCTCTCTTCTTGTGTCTCCCTGGGTGGCCATCCCTCTGAGCTAGTCAGAGCTACCCAGGTACAGCCAATTCTGGCTTTCAGAATGCTGTGAGCAGCTTTCAGTGGCTTCACAGGGTGGGACCTCTTGGGTGGGACCTCACAGTGTGGGCACACCTGCTGGCAGGAGTCCACCCCAGCCTCCTATACCCATACGGACTTCAGAGCTGTGAAGTGTGGAAGTGAGGCCAGGAGTTGCAGGGGGACATCAGCCAGCTCGTGGCACTGCTGCTCCTAAATGTGGCCTTCAGTCAATGATCTTGAAAAGGTGTGTGGATAATGCAAAAGAAGCTGCTTTGAGTTGGAGGCTTTTTTTTTTTTTTGAAGTTTGAGAACTTTGGTTTAATAAACCAATTGCTCCCCTCCTTCTTTCTTTAATTTTTATTTATTGAGATCTGAGTGTGTGTTTACAAGGCAAATTAGTTCTCCATTCGAGTTGGAGGCTTTCAGGAGCTTCTCAGCCTAGATGTGGAAGTGAGATATTCAGACCTCCCACCATAGTGAACGGGCAGTGCTGGGCCTCAGGTCCAGCCCAGACGGGGTGACATCAGAGCCTCTGTGGATGGGGGAAAACTCCAGGGAATGGGTCTCCTCCTGCTTGCTCTGTTCCCGCAGGTGTGCTTTGGGGAAGGGGCTATCACGCAGCTAATCTTGGCATGTCTTAGCTGTCCACAGAGGCCATCATGACTAGGAAATGACCCACTGATGATTTGCAACTGCCCTATCACTCTCACCATCCGTGCCAAGCTGTAGACAAGACCTGGAGGCTCTCCAGACTCTGAACACCCAGGAATGAGTTGGGGGTGAAGATGCAAGCCACTGTGGGGGTTATTCTACCCCTGAGGTCCAGCAAAGTTTCCAGCCCTGGCTTCTGAGTGACCTCCTCGTGTTCAAATCTGTCTCCTCCACTACTCCGGGATCTCCCCACCTCCTGGGGCTGTGTTAATTCTCTAGACGCCTGCCTGCTGGCCACTGGACAGTCAGGGATAAGCATGCTGCCTGCAGGGCCCCAGCCAGAGGCAGGGCACAGCCCCACGCCCCATAAAGTTTCCAGGCCTGACATGGGTGGGAACACTGGGAAGGAACCCAACACCATTTCACAGAGCCCCAACCTGCTGGCCCAGCCAAAGGCTGTGAAGGCCCAGCCCCCCAGGGCCTCAAGCCCCACCTCTGTTCTGCTCACAGGCAGGGCGGAGGTCCTCTTCTTTAGCTGTAAACTCAAGAGTGAGAAGAGAGCCTAAGGCCCATTCAATCCCTGGAGTGTCCAGTCCAGCGTGGCAATATGACATTTCGAGTGTGCTTTTAGGGCAAGGTCATCCTTGCACTAATATCCACCACTCCAAGCAGAAGGGCTGGAGGAAGTTTTGCCTGTTGGGACCAGCAAGCATTGATCACGCTTCTCAGCACCGCAGTCTTTCAGATTGGGAGTTTTATTTCCACTAGCAAGCATTAGCAGAATGGCTTGACTTTACTGAGGACTCGGCATTTGCCAGCAGAGGGCGCTGGCATGGAGCCTGAGCCCTTGGAAACCTTGAGACATCAACTGAATGATGATGATGGCTAATGAGATGGTCAAGGTTAGTTCTTTGGAGGTGGGGGTCCTAGCCCACCACAGAAACAGGGCAAGGTTGTAAAGAAAGGGTCAATACAGGGGTCAGAGAAGGCACGGTGGTCAGCGCCAATGCTAGACAGAGAAGCCTCTTGCGTCCATTCCCCAGTCCCCCCTGGCCTCTGAAGATCTTCCCCACACAGCTTCTCACCAGCTGCCCTGTCCACCAACGACATTCCCATGAGCAGGAAAGCACGCTAATAGCCAAGTGCAGGCTACAGCTGACTTACTGTATTCTAAAGTCCAGGCCTTTAGGGGTGCAGGGTTGGGATTCTGAGCACAGCAGGGCGCAAGCCTAAAAGGAGCTCCCTGCCCTACAGGGCTTGTTGGGTGACCCAGGCTAGTACGTAGTGACCAGGAGGTAACTTGTGTGCTTGACCTGCTGGGGTCAGAGAACCCCTGGGGTAAAGTGACCCCGGAAGTTTGGCTGGAGCAGTCGGGACCATCTACTTCTCCCATAGTGAGCAGTTTGGGAAGGAGCAAAAGATGCTCAGATGGGGTCTTGGGAAGGAAGGCAAGGCCCCTTGTTGCCAGCAGGCACTGCTCCCAGTCCCACCCACCTAGATGCTGGCCCCACAATCAGCCTCCCAGCATCTCTCCTCCCTCTTCCATCCCTCCAGGAGGCTGCTGGGGACAGACCGTAGCCCCTAAGACACTCTGCCTGCCTCCCCCTTCCTTGCCATCATTCGATCAGCATCCAGAACCTGAATGGCCTAAGAGCTTCAGAGCCACCCACTGGGTCACACTCCCTTGAACCAATTCCAGCCGTGATCATTAGAATGACAAGCTCTTCATAAGGGATGCAGGAGAGTGTATGCCCCCCGCTCAGTCCTGGGCCCCCCGCCAGCTCGGGTGTTCTCAGCCTGCCCAGATACTCTCTCTTCGAAATCCTGCCCAAATGACACCCCGTGTGCCTGCTCATGGCCAGGAGGGGTGTGCAGGAGCCCAAGGACCCAGTCACGGTCGCTTTTGCGGCTGCCAGAGCAGCAGCGGAGGGTTTGGCCCGGGGAATTCAAGTGAGGCCCGCGTCTTGCAGGGCAGGCATGGAAAGGGCCCTCCGGCTGCGAGGTGGGGGCCACGTGGAGTCCTGGTGAGAAGGGGTCACGGGCCACGGGCCCCGGCTTTGGGGGGGAGCGGGGCACGGCTGCGCTCCCCCCCAGGAGACGTGCAGGCTTTAGCAGACAGTGAGCGCTCCCGGCCCGAACGGAAGGCAGCTGTCACCGTCACCAGGTAGTCGGTGCTCGGCGCCAGGCCCTGCAGTAGGGTGCTGTTGTGGCCCGCGGGCACCTCCACGCGCTGCGCCGCGCCGCCCTGCAGCGGCCCGTACAGCACGTGGTAGCCGAGCGCGGCGGCCGGGCCCAAAGTGGGGGCCCAGCTCACGCGCAAGCTTCGCGGCTTGCAGTGAGAGATGACGATGCGCTCTGGCCCCGCCTCCTCTGTGGGGAAGGGGGGGAAGTGTCACCAGGTGGGGGCTTCCTCCCCGCCACCCTCTGCTCCAATCCCCCACCCCCATCCTCAACCCCGGAGCCCCCACCCTTCCGTTCGCGGCCTGGGCCCCACCTCACCAGGCAGCGTGCGCACTTGCAGGTGCTGCGGCCCCAAGAGGCGCTCGTTGGACTCGGGCACCAGCGCCACGTCATAGTCTGTGTCGGGCTCCAACCCGGTCCAGGCCCAGCCAGTGGTGTTCCCCGGCAGCTGTTGGCGATGCATCACCCCAGGCTTGGCACTGGTCGTTAGTTCCAGCACGTAGTAGCCAGAGTTGGCGGTCAGCAGGGGCGGCCAGGCCAGGCGGAAGCCACTGGACGTGACCTCAGTGGCGCGGAGCTGCTGCTGCGGCTGCATAGCGTCTGGGGGTGGAAGGGTCAGGGAACCGAGGTCACCTTCTCTGTGCCAGAGCGGAGGCATCTGCTGAACCAGGGGACATCCCACAGATTGGAGGCCCTGATAGGACAGGGGTCGGGCCAGGAGGACAGCAAGACATCCTGCGCCCCAGGTCTGGTCAGTCTCTGCTTCAGCCAGCAGCCATCTTAGCTAATAAATACTAATACTATACAAAGAGGGGGTGGGGCTAGGAGGAGGCCTCAACCCCTATCCCTCCCAACATCAGGGATTCCCTTCCTGCTGCAGCTTCAAATCTCTCCTCACAGAAGCCAAGCAGTCACCATCATTTCCACCTCAAGATCTGCAAGGGTATCTGGGAACAGAGAACTAGAACCTAGCCTGGAGTTGGAGCAAAGGGCACAGCCTCCGGGGGATGTAGGCAGTAGAGATAGGAAATTCCTAAGAGCAGCTGGACCTGAGTTTTCAGGGTTCTTCCTCTATCGGTACCTAGACCGCCAAGGGATATGGGCATGGGACCCCAAACTAGTGTTAACCAAACATGTAACACCAAGCACCACATAGCTGTCTGAGTGGCATGCTACTGGGTGACTCTGATGTCTGGGTGGGGTCACGGGAGCTTGGTCACTTCCTCCTCCTGGAAGCTGAGTGCCCCAGTCACCAGCCTAGCACATTCTCCTGCCCATCCCCCACACTCAGACCTGCCAACAAGAACAGAAGCCCCCCCACCCTTCTGTCTGACTTCTCTACCCAGAAGACTTGGGGTTTTCTGTCCAACTGGCCATTTTGTCCTGCTGTTGCATCCAAGTTGGATTACAGAGGTAACCACATGGGGCCAAATGTCCCTGGGGGAAATCCTCTGGGGAACCCTTCATCGTTCAGCCCAAGTCATTCCAACTTTGGGTGAATGATTAACCCAAAAGGAAGGTAAAGACTTATTAAGAAGCCAGGAGTTAGCAGCTTTTTTTCAGTGGCAGCCACAGGCTGACCAGGCTGGGCCAGTGACCATGCTCTTTTCCCCACAGTGCAGAGCAAGTAAGGGTGTCCTTTAGACGGAGCAGCAGCCCCCCACCCTCATCCTCACCCTTCCCTCCTCCAGGGCAGGTTCCACAGCGAGCCTTAAGTCTAAGCCTGGTCTGCACACTGGCCTGTTCGAGCCCCTTCGCACAGGAAGAGGACCCAAACTGTATTGGGTGATTCCAGGCCCTTCCTAGTTTCTCCAGATAGGGAGCCCCAATGAGTCTCCCCGCCCCCCCCCCCCCCCATATCTTCTGAGTTCCTAGACTTGAACCAGCCTTCTCTTCTCTATCAGCCACTCTTAACCAGACACAATTTACCAGGCCCCTCACTCCATGGACCTCCAGCTCTGGGCGAGGGCCCTTTAGCAGGGAACACTCCCGGAAGTGGTTATTTGGCCTGACCTCTGTCCTGAATAGCCCCAGATAGCAAGCTCCAGTTGCAGCATGTCAGTGGACAGTGAACAGAAACATCCCTTCCCGTCGTCACACCCTCAGATACACCATCTGACTTCACACCCAGCCCTGATTACAGGTCCTCTGAAAGGCTTGCCACAGTCTCTCCTGCTGTGGCTTGTAACTGGGGCCCCCAAAGACCCCACTTCCTCCTACCCAGAATGGAGCCTCGCAGCTCCTGAGCAATGATGTGCAGGTCATCGACGTCCACAAAGTGCAGGTGCTTCTCAGGAGGGGCCGAGGCAGCCTCCGACAGCTCCAGAAAGTTGCCATGGCCGGTGCTGATGATGAAGACGGTGACACCCAGGTCCTTGAGCTCCTGCATGGGAGGCCCCACGGGGTCGCTGGAACTGCCATCTGTCACCCACACCAGAACTTTGGGCACACCCACTCGGGCGCCAGTGGCTGTGTCAAACAGCTGCTCCTTAGCGTAGGACAAGGCTAGGCCAGTGTTGGTATCACCCATGCGCTGGGTGGCAGCCCGGATGGCATCCTGGACCATTGCACTGGAGCTGTGCTGGTCAAAGCGGAACTCGGTGTATGGCTGGCTGCCCACATGCACCAGGCTGGCCTGCAGGGCCCCAGGGTCCAGGGGCAGAGGAGCTACCAGATGACCCAGGAACTCCCGAACCCGGGAGAACTCGTAGTGAGACACACTGGCCGAGCTGTCCAGCAGGAACAACAGGTCCCCCTGAGGGGATGACACAGGAGGTCCTGGGGAAGAGTCAAAGTTCAGCCCTGAGCCACATACCCCCTGATACCCCAGGGCAGAACCCCCTGAACCTGATCTTGCCCTGGGCTACCCTTACTCCAGCTGTCCCCAAGAACCCACTTTAATGCAAAGGTCCTGGGGGGAGTGTTTCTGAGTCAGGCAGGAGGCCCAATTCCTCTGGATTCGGTGTCACTGTGACAGCTCCAGCAGGGACACTTTCTACCCTCATATCTTAGTCTACAATGAGAACCCCATGCCATCCTTTCCCTAATTGGCCCAGGAGTCCTGCTTTCAATATATTAACTGCCCCCTTAGAGAAGTTCCCTTGTTGATGGAGTTTACTCTCACAGCTCAGCCTTAAGGAGAGGCAGCCCCTCCTGAAGTGTGCACAGCAGCAGGAGAGGACAAAGCACTGGACGCAGCCCCTTTTCCGCTCAGCCCAGGCAGCCAAGCTGGGATCAGTTCAGTGACCACATTTACAGATGATGTCACCCCTCCCCCGGACCCTCTCTGCTCCATCTGGACCCCGGAAATAGGACACCTTAGGCAACCGTCCAAGGAAGGTCCCCCTCCCCTCTGAATCCTCTCCCCATGTCTCCCTTCCCTCCTGGCACAGCAGGTGGCAGTAGCTCCCCCTACCCACCCACATACCACCACGACCCCGCCCGCCCCCTCGGCCGCAGCTGGCAGGAGCTGGGGGCGTCCTGGAGCTGATCTGGGGCCCCCCAACTCGGTGGGACGGCTCCAACACGCCTACTGTCTCGGCTAACGGCTCTTCTAAGAGTAGGAAAACTGAGGTCACCTCTCCAGCCCCGTCCAGACCTCGCAATCTGGTGAAGATGCCGAGCTGGGGCAGATGGCGGGCTGCACGTCCCAGCGCTCCTGCCTTCAAGCCTGCCCAGGGCACCTGGGCCCGCCTGTCGCAGGTGGGTGGGGTTGCCCAGACTGGCTGTCCCCCGCCCCGGGCAGCTGGAGGAGAGCTAGGGCGCCCCGCGGGAACCAAAGGAGGCGCCCAGAGCCAGCTTCCACGGCCAACCTCGTGTACTCACCGTGCTCCTCTCGGATCTGCGCCAGCACCAGCCGGAAGCTCAGGGCCAAGCTGAGCGTGGTCCAGGCAAGCATCGCGCTGCGAGTGACCGTGGCGCTCGATTCTAAGCTGCCGGGAGCGCCGCGGCACAGCCTGCGGGTGGAGGCCCCGCCCCGCCAGGCCCCGCCCCTCTCCCAGGCCCCGCCTCGTGGCGCGCGCACTCGCCCAGACGTGCACAGACCCTGCCATGCTTTCACGGACTTCCAGATTCGCAGCACTAGAGACATCTGATCAAGGCGCCGCACACAAGTGCGTACATAGGCACTATAGTCTTCCCTCCTCCAGGTGTGAGGCTGTAAAGTCTGCCCCCTTTCCCACTCCCAGCCAGGTGCACAGCAGAGTGACAGTCATCAGGCCAGGTCAACTGTGAGCCCTGCCCATGACTCCTTGGAGCCCAGCAAGGGTCCCTGAAGACAGGCCCAAGAGAAGCTGCATGCCCCTCCAGACCAAGTCCAGAGCCTGGAGAGATTGGAGTCTAGAGGCCAGAACCTGAAACCCCAAAACCTGAACGATATAGGGATTAGACAGATGTTGGGCCAATTTTAGAAAGTACACAGGGCCTTGGGAGAGGTCATCTGCCTGAGAAACTTGAAGGGATGTATCTTTGAGGATGTAAACTCCCAGAGCACTCAGCTTTCTGGAGGAAGAGGCCCAAGCCATGGATCCACGCCCAGAGCCAAGCAGCAGTACCCAAATCCTGTTGAGCCCAGCCCTCAGGCCCCAGGGGAATGCCAGAGAGGTCTGTCAGGAGGAGTCTTGATGGTCTCGGGATCTCAGCTGGGCCCAGAGTGACCAGAGGTGGCTGGTCACAGGAGTGATCTGAGAGACTGTGGCACCCCTGACCACAGATTCCTTCTCAGGTGAGGCAGGGTGGCAGCTTTTTTTGGGCTGGGCCAAGTTGAGATCCAGGAGCCTGCCTCATTCCTAAAATGCCTTCCTGTGGGGTAAGCATTGCCCTCTCCTGTGCCAGCCACACTTCCCCCCGCAGCCTGAGGGGGTGGGGTCTTCTTCGCCGGATGCCCCCTCCCTTCCGACTCCCCTATGAGGATGCTCTGCTGGAGGACGGATTTGACTCAATGGTTTTCCTTCCTCCCTTCCTGGCAGGTGAAGAGCAGCGGGAGCGTGGGGGCAGGAGGGAGGAGGGAGCTCCGACTTTGCCTAAAAAAGGAAGCGACTGGCGGCGGAGCCTAAGAGCTGGCGGCAGGAACAAACGAGAACTATGTCGTCGCCGTCCCCCACCCCCTTGCCGGGAATCTTGGCAGTGACGGTGCTGGCTCAGCTCCACAGACCTCAGGGCTCGGCTGGGTCCAGAAACTGTTGGTGCTTCTTGCCTGGGCCCTGTGGGGAGAAGAGTGGAGCTTGGGCCCCGAATCCAGGGGTGTGCCACTCAGAGGTGTCCGGGTTGAGAAGCGCTGGCTGCATCCATGGGAGAAGATGAGGTAGAGGCCACGAACAAGGAAGCAGCAGCCAGGGATGGGGGTGGAGGATGGGCCCGAAGCCCCATGGAGAAACTGACCCAACAGGGGATACACACAGGCTGCCATGTGCAAGTCTGTATAGTCCTGGATGCCCACTGTGGTCCTGTCCTGGCAGAGAACAGGACTTTGGTGTGTTTGCCCTGTGAGGAGGCTACTAGCTAAAAAGGTAGCCCCCCACTTGTCCTTCGACTCCTGCCAGCCCTAGGAGTGGCCCAGAGATGGAGAACCTCGCTGGACTCAGGCAGGCCCACAGTCACACCTCTGCCTATGCTGAGCTGACGGAGAAGTTTCCGTACCTTCTGGAAAAACTGAACTGGTCTTGTTGGCCATGACTCAGGACCTCAAGGAAGCAGCCGCCCTCCTCCCTCCAGCTGCACCATCAGAGGCAGAAAGGACCAAGGAGGCTCAGCGTCCTGGTGGCAGCCAGCCGGGGCACTGCCCACAGGCACAGCTGCTGCTCTGCTGAGTGCTGCCCCCTCACACGCCCAGGACTTTCCCCTAACAGCTCCAGCCTCTGCTTTCCACAGACCCCCACAGTTACCTCCAGCCTCAGAGAGGAGACCTGGATGGACAGAGGGTCAGTGTCCAGGGAGTGAGAGGGGTCAGCCAGGGGTGTAGTGGTCAGGACCCAGCTGAGACAGACGCCAGAGGAAGCATAAATAAAATGGTCCGGAAGTGTCCTCTTGAAGGGAGCTAGGCTTGGAGGGACAAAGTGGTGGGGCAGGGGCAGGAAGGCCAGGTCACCGCAAGACCTTGGTTGTACGGCCTCCTACCCCATAACTTTTCATCCCCTGCCTAGCGTCTTGGAATCCTGGGGATCCAGCCCCTGTGGGTGTCAGAGCCTCATTTTCCAATGTTGTTCCCTGCCTGACTTGGGTCAGTGGACACATGGAGGGGGTTATGGGTGGGGCCCCTTCACTCCTGAGATGGGGGGGACACAGCACCCCAACCCCCACCCCAAAGCCTCCGGAATGCTCCCTCCTCCACCACACAATCCAGCTTCTCCAGAGAAGAAAGGCCTTTTGTCTCCAGCCTGATGTGATCATGCTCTCAACCCCAAGGAAAAGGGCAGTTCCCGGGGCCCTCTGACCTCACCCCTGACCCCACCAAAGGCACAGTGTGGGGCCTGGGGGCAGAGGCAGCCTGGGTCCCCCACCCAGTCCTGGGTACTGGTGTTTTTCACTTCCTTCATCTTACAGGCTCACACATGTATGGGGTAGACTCATACACAGAGATGACACAGAAACAGGAAGTAGTTGGGGTGGGAGTGTGAGCTGAGGCTGGTGACCCCTCCTAATGACAGTAAGGCAGAGGGAAGGGGCAGCAGAGAAGAGCAGGTCCTATGGGTCCCACCCACAAGTGTACACGTGCACACACACACACCCCTACCTCACCCCACCCCACCTACACATTCTTCTTAAGGGACTCGCCTATCTGTGGTCTGGGATTTACTGAGGCCTGAGGACCAGTCCTGGTTGCCTGTGGATCCTGGCTCACTCCCCTGCCTACTCCCAGAGCTGACCTACACCCACTCTTTGGGGGTCAGGTTATACGGCTGGCAGTGAGTGGCCTGGGCAGGCGACATGGCAGGGGCACCTACATGCCTTCACACCCCATCTCTGTGCTGTGCAGGTAGGTTCCTGTGGCCCAGCAGACAACTAGGCGAATCCCTGTCCCATAGTACACTCCTGTCTGGGGGTGAGGGGAGTGTCATACTGTTCATGTTACAAGGATGGAGGGGTATTTATTTCCTTGAGGTAGGGTCTCAAGATGTGGCCAGGCCAGTTCCTAGGGATGGCACTGGGCAGTGATGAAGTGAGAGAGAACTACAGGCCTGTAGAACATTCCTGCAGAGGGATCAGCAGTGACAAGTCCCCCCAGGTGGGGCTGGGCTGTTGTTAGGCCCCCAAGGAGACCTGGAGGGCCACTGGGTAAGGGAGCCGGCAGGACTGAGCTGTGGGGGACAGCCAGGGGTCTATGTTCTGCCACTTTGTATGAGCCAGGGGATGCAGTACGAAAGATGCCCAGATTGTACCTAGGTGGTAGGGCAAGTGCCCTTTAGGGCCCAGGTGACCTCTGCACCACAGCACATCTTGGAACCACCCTCTCCATGGGGCCCCTCGATTGCACTGGCTGTTTTTTCTACTGGGAGGGTGGTGCATGGCCAGGCGTTGTCTGGAGCCAGAGTGGAAGGAGTCTGAATCCAGCAGTGGCAGCATAGTGACGCCTGTCACATCTGGGCAAGTGGTCCCCTGGGAGGGGTGGTGGTGGTGAGGTAGTGGGAAGGAACAGGAGCGTTTGTCCCCAAGTCAGCCCACCCACACAGACAGTGTTCATGCCCCACATTGAGGTGGGACCACATGGTTGGGTTGGGACAGGCCCACCCCTGGGTTCAGGCTAGCAGAGCCAGGTGGATGGGGAGATCTAACAGATATAGGGGCAAGTGAACTCAGGAAAGGAATCTTAGGAGGCTTGGGAGTGACAGGCGTGCTGAAGGCACTTAAGCTCCCAAAAAAATATTTTCTGAATGAATACCTGCTCTTGGATGAGGTGGGAGCCACCTGAGCCTTTTCTCACCTGTGACTCCTGGATAACACCCCTCTGGGATCCTGGAGAGCAGACGAAAGCCACACAAGCTTGCAGGATGGGACCCAGTGTGACCTGCTCCTGTGGAGGCCGTGCCAGAGGCAGGAGGGACCTTACAGGACAGAGGCTGGGGCCTGGGAGGTCTTTGCTTGGCCACTGGCTGCTCTGAATGTTTTGTTCCTTTGGCCCTTGGAAGACTCCTGGCACCTTCAGGGATGGGCCAGGTGAGCCTGGTGGGAGGTGGAGGCTCTGGAGGGGAGGAGCAGAGGGGTTATAGGGATGGAGCCTGGCATCTATGAGGTCTTGAGGGAGAAAGAAGACTTCTGTTTTGGGCTCCTTGCTGGGCTCAGGATAGGGAAGGCATAGAGTGGAGCCAGGGAGAAGAGGTACTGTCCAGGGTGAGTGGATAGGCTGAGCAGGGCCCTAGTGACTGTCCCAAACCTTGAGGCAGAAGAAATCTTGTGACTGGTTTCCCAAATCCCCTTGAGCCTAGGATCCTTCTAGCTGGTGATGAATAGGAAGCCTTCCTCAGATTCCCGAAAGGGGCCCTTTGAGAGAACAATGCAGGAGCAATCAAAGGCAAGGGTGGAGAGCCCTCTCCAAGCCCAAGTCCCCCCCTTTCCCCTGGCCTTGGCCCCCACTTGTCCACCCCGCCCCCTCCAGCTTCCCTGCCAGCAGCTGCCTCCTCAGTGTTCCTGCCTCCCCCAAAAGCAGACCCAGGGCCCCTTCAATGAACCTCCCTCAATCCCCACAGGTGTTCCTCTAGTGAGTGGGCAGGGCTGAGGCCAAGGGCCAATTATCCTGCTGTCCCCTCCACCCCCTACACAAACCCCTAGGCCTTCAACATCCCTGGGCCAGCTGGCAGCTCTGCGCTGTGTGGCCTCAGGGTGGCCTAGAAAGATGGGGAACACCTTAAGGAACCAGCCCTGCTTCAGGCGCCTGTCTCCATCCGGACTCCCCTCCAGGCAGGCAGGTCTCCCCACTGAGACCTTCCAACCCCCATCAGCCCAGCTGTTGTTTTGATGATTGTGAGGCCAGGACATCCTCAGCCAAAGGACTCCCAGGAGGATCCTTGAAGCCGGGCGTCCGCCAGTGCCTGCCCAATTCTGGGCCAGGAGCAGAGGAAAGCAGCCCTAGCCTGGCCCAGGGGAAGCTGTCTGGCGACAGGCCCGACTCCTGTCTATTTCGGAAAAGCATGGGAGCTGGGCATGGACAGTCCACGGACAACTCCAGAACTCCTACTAGACTTGACCAAGACAAACAACGGACTCTGCTTAAGGCCACAGACTGAAGCTTGACCCTGGCCCCCGTGTGAGCCTTAATCCTGGCTGCAGAAAGAACCTTGACCCTGGTTATATCTCGAACCCTGACCTTGACCCGAGCCTGAGCCCTAACTCTGATTCCAGCCTGATTCCTGACCCTGAACACTGATCCTGGTCCCAGATTGAGCTCTGACCATGACTACAACCAAGCTTTGATTCTGTCCTTGACTTGAGCCCTGGTGGCAATATGGCAGACTCAGCAGACTCAAACTCAAAAATTCATGGCTGTCAAGTTGAAATCAACTCATATCTGACCTTCCACTGAGTTTTTGATGCTGTGACACAGTAAGTAAACCTCACTGGCTGCTCTGGTGGGAGATGCAAATTCACAGGGAATTGTGCTACTTAATCCAAAGGCAGCAGGCACCTCTCTGGCAGTTCAAATCCACTAGGGGCTCCTTGTTGAGAAAGATGAGCAATCTTTTCCAGTGCAATTTATAGTCTCAATAGATTGCTGGAGGGTCAGCTATGAGTTTGTTTCAACTCAACAGCAATAGATTTCTTTAGTTGTTTGAAATTGAACCAGAGGGGATTACCCATCTCTCTCACGAGAAGCTCTAGTGAAATTGGGGGATTCAAACTGGCAAAGAGGCACAGCCTTGGGGTTAGCAGCACAACTCCCTATGATTAGGCCATTGGACTAGATCCTCAAAAAGGTCTTTTAGATACAATCAGATTCTGGATGAGTAACAAGGAACACACTTTTTCAATGTACTACTAGGCTTACAGGAAGACAAATGAAAGATATCCAAGCCCCCACCCCAATTTTAAATACTAACAATACAAACAGAAAATAATATTGAGTAGGAGGAATCCAAAATTGCAGAGTTAACAAATGAGAATGCAGAGAATCACTTGGAGACAGAGTCATCACATAATTAATGAAGCAAGAATTGAATGCCCTTGGAGGGGTGGGGGGAAGGCTGTGAAACCAGGACCTTCAAAGACCCAAAAGGAGTCTGAGCAAATCCACCAGATGCTCTGCCGGAGAAGGAGGGGCAATCTCCTCCTGTACCAGTCAGATCTGATTTGATGGTACACACACAAAAATAATAATTAAATTTTTTTTTTTAAAAAAAAGATGCACAAAACAAAAGGAACCTGAGATTATCATGTCCACCGAAGTAAATGTCCTCTGCAGGAAAAATCTATAAGGTAGAACTTCAATTATCACAGGCAAGTGCTAACAATGAAAAATTACAAACTCTCCCCCACCCAAAGAAAACTCCAAACAAAACTCACCTACACCATTAGTGAGAAACAGTAAAGACAGCATATTTAAACACTCTACTCCCAAGACATAGGGGTTTATGTCAGTTTGCTCGGCTCCACAGTCAACACTCTTGGCACCAGCAGTCAGGAAATCAAAAAGCGTATCACAATGGGAAAGTTTGCTGTTAGCGACCTCTCTAAAGTACTCAAGAGCAACGGTGTGGTGTCTCTCTGAAGACTAAGGTGCGCCTGATACAGGCCATGGTCTTTGCAATCGCTTGTTATGCATCAGAGAGTTGGACAATGACTAGGGAGGACAGAAGGAGAGTGGATGCTTTTGAGCTGTGGTGCTGGAGAAGAGTACTGAATGTACCATGGACTGCCAGGAAAACAAACAGATTCATCTTGGAGAGGATTAAATCAAGCAATTCCTTGGAGGCAAGGATTCTGGGGCTTCGTCTGACATACTTTGGACATGTTGCCAGGAGGGACGGGTCCTTGGAGAGGGACATCATGCTTGGGAGGGTGGAGGGACAGCGCAGGAGGGGAAGACCCTCTATGAGATGGATTGACTAGGTGACTGGGGTAATTGGGATGGGTGTGTCAGAGGCAGTGCGGTTGGCGCAGGATAGAGCAGGGTTTAGGGCTATTGTGCATAGGGTCGCTATGAGTCGCAAAGGACTCCACGGCACATAACAACAACAACAACAACAACTCCCAAGACTGTTGTACTGTGGTAAGGAGCTCTGCCTAGTAGCCTAGTGCAGCCAACCCAATCAAGCAGTTACTCTGGAGAGAGAAAGACGTAATCGCCTCCCATGTGATTTATGGCTTCTGAAAACCTGCTGGGGCAACAGCACACAACAATCCCCAACACTGGGTTATTGGAATTGCTAGGTATAGCATATAACTACATAAGAAATGTTTTCAGAAATGAAAGCTAGGATCCAAAAATCATGTACTTGCTACAAGATCATTAACAAGAATCAGGTACATTTGAAAAAGAACCAAGAATTGTAACTTTTAGATATAATAATTTAAAAATTAAGTGGGTGATTTAGTCAGTATAATAGACAAGATTAATGAAAGAAAAAAAAAAAGACTAATTGGAAGAGGAAGGTATAGACATTCTCCAAAATGCAGCATTTAGTGCAACAATGAATGAATGGAAACCCAAAATCTCTGTAAATGTCTATGAAAATTAATAAAATATAATTATAGAAAAAAAAACAAAAACAAAATGCAGCATTGAGACACAAAGAGTGGAAAACAGAGATTCATCTATGTGGGAGGTAAGAGAAAGGTGAAACATTTAACAGGGAGTTACTAGGGGGAGAAACTGAAGGAATGAGAGACAATATTGAGGGATAATGGTTGGAAGTTTTCCAGGGCTGATGAAAAATATTAATCCATAGAACTAGGAACACAATGCATATACCAAGCAAGAGAAATTAGAACATAAGCACATACAGCCAGACACATGCTGGTAAAATAACAGAAATCCAAAGGGAGATCTTCCAATTAGAGAAAACACTGAGTCTAATCACAGGTGCCTGTCTAAATACTAACTACTATAGGGAGCTCTGGTGGCTTAGTAAATAAAGAATTATTCTGCTAATGCAAGTTACGTGGTTCAAATCCACCAGTTGCTTTGCAGAAGCAAGTTGGGCAGCCTCCTCCTTTGCAAAAGCAAGAGGTCAGCTATAGGTCCTTCAGGGTCACACAGGCTGAGCTCCAGTGTCAAGATAAGTCTTAACTTTGCACAAAAGGCTGTGACCATAGCCAAAGATGAACCCTGACCACAGTCACAGTCTGAGTCCCAAGCCTGGCCAAAGGATGAACTCTGTCTGCAGTTGGCTACTAGCTGGGTTTCTGGAACCGCTCTGGCTTTTGAATGAGTACTGATGTTTCCATACTGCCTCTGGAACTGGCTGGAAATACCAAGAGAGACCGATTTACTAAACAGACGCAGGGACTATTTGTGAGTGACTAGGTCCCCAGGGCAGGTGCAGAGTAAGAAGCCATGAAGGTCCCCTTCGTTGGGGACCATCTCCCTCCTCTCTCTGTCTAGCTGGGAAGAGGAGAGCTGATGAAGGGCCAGGCGTGGGGAGAAAGTCTGGGAAGTAAGTGCAAACTCGGTCGGGGGAGCCCGGTGCCATCTCGTGGCCATTCGCAGAACTGCACGCGCGCGGGGACCGAGATGCAGACCGCGGGGTTCACTAGCCACCAGTCACTTTATGGAAAATCTTGAGGCCTCTGAGGTTCGGGGGTCCCGGGGTCTTCTGGAAAGGCCTTTGGGTCACACCCAGGCGCAAAACTGCTCCTCCTCATCCAAACCGCTGCCTGCCAGCTCCTCGCCCCTGGACCCTCGGTGGTCCCCGGGACCGGAAGCCCACGGGAGGGGCGGCAGCAGCGGACGGAGACGTCGGGCCAGGCGTGCGCGGGCGGCCGAGGCGAGCACGAGCAGCGGTGGCAGCGAGAGGAAGCCGAATGCGATGAGCGTCGCCGAACCTCGGTCGGAAAGCATCGAGCGGCATGGGGGTCGGGGCGCCGGATGGACCTGGGGGCGGGGCCGGGAAAGGAGCGGGGTGTGCAGTCAGAGCGGCAAGCGAGGGGGCGTGGCTTCCTAAGGCCGCGGACTAAACTGGGAAAGGAGAGCAGGACCCCGGAACTGATGATGCGCGTGGAGAGAAAACGGAGGGTTCGAAAGGAGGCGGGGCCTGGAGAGGCGTGGGGCGTGGTCCTGTGAGGGGTGGGCGGGGCTACCACCAGCTTCCAAGGGGATAGGTCTGGGCTTGGGGGAGGGTGTAGGGCGGAGTCTGAGGTCAGGTGGAGTGGATTTATGAGACTTACGTGTGAAATCAGAGACCCCAGCTCATCCACAGAGGGTCCTTTTGTAAGAAGGCTCAGAGCTCTGTAGCTCCAACCCTCTCTTTCCTCACCCTTTATTTCTCACCTGAGCCCTCCTTGTGTTACAACCTGACCTTGATCCTAGAGCTTCTCTGTAACCCTCTCCCTCTCATGTTCAGCCTTCCACTCCCACCCTAAGCCTAGTGAGAGGGGCCTATCTGTCTACACTCTATGTCCTAAATGATGCCATGGCCCATATCCCAGGGTGGCAAATCCATCTGGGGCACCGGGGGCATGGAATTCTCTGTGTGTAGGTTTGAGGCGTAAGGGAGGATTTGTGGGAGGGTGATATTTGGCAAGATTTTCATCTTCTCCCTCTGGAAACCCCGTCTCTCCCCACCCTGCCCCAGCTGACCAGGCCTGGTAGCCCCTGGTACAAGGCTTGGAGATGCGCGGGGAGGAGACAGAATTGTCCTATCGGGTGGCAGACAAGAGCTCTTTCACAGCCAGTGTGGGAGGTGGTAATGAAAGGGGCTCTCCTATGGGGGCAAAGGGCCAGGTTGGGAGGCAGCAAGTTCATTTTCAGCCCTGAGACCCTGAGCTTCCGAAGGACCCCTCCCTAGGTCCCAGGCAGTCCCCACCGGAGAGGTCTCAGCTCACCCTGGAGTGGCACAGGAAGCCCAGGTAGACAACGGCGGCTGCGGGCAGCAGCACCAGCAGGAACACCATGGCAGACAGCAGCAGGTGGAGAAGGAGTCCAGCCAGGGCCCGGCCAGGTAGCTGTAGAGGCTTCAGGCCCCAGGGGGCCAGACCTGCCCGCCCTGGTGAGGCCTGGTGATCAGACGGTCTCCGGGGCAGCATAGGTGCTGTGTCAGAGGTGCCCCCTCCCTCATCTTCCTCTGTTTCCCTCTCTCTCTCAATCATCACAGCAGGGGTCAGAGATCAGGTAGTGTGGCCCAAGAGGCTCCTATGGGTCAGACCAGTGACTCTTTAACTCACCCACAAATTGAGCTGGAGTCAGATCTCCACTAAGACTGAAGGTACCAGAGAAAGAATTCTGTTGAGTGGCAGGACCAAGGCAAGGCGTGGCCTTGACACCAGTGCCCCCAGGTCATACCCCTACCTCAGTTTCCCTGCTGCCAGGCTGGGCCCTTTGCTGCAAAGAGGCCACTGCTCTGGCCCTATCTCCCCATCCAGCTTCAGTGTGCTCTGGGTAGGCCTTCCACAGCTGTCCCCAGGCCAGCCCAGGGGCCCTCCTCCCTTAGTCCCGCCTCTGCTTCAGCTCACGCAGACAATGCCTGTAGTTCATAGTTTGGACCCTACCATCGTGGCTGCCTTGAGCTCTAATGGCCTAATGAAAAGGGAGTTATGCTGCTAACCCAAAGGCAGGCAGTTCAAATCCACTAGCTACTCCAAGGGAGAAAGATGGGCAACCAGCAATTCTGATGAGCAATCTCTTTCAGTGTGATTTACAGACTCTGAAAACCCACCGGAAGGGCAGTTATGAGTTGGTTTCCACTTGGCAGCAATGAGTTTGCCTTGACCTGGCTCCTACACAGAGCTCTGACAGAAGGCCTTGTCTGTAGGATGTTGCACTGCTCACCCAAAGTTATACACTTCCCTGGTGATTCAAATTAACCAAGAGCTCCAAAGAAGATGGACAACCTCCTCCCATGCAATCTGCAGCCTCACAAACCAACTGGAGATGAGTCAGTTCTGACTTAACAGTAATGATAAAGAGAGAGGCTCTGCTGGGCCCCTCATCCAAAGACCCAGCCCCTTCAGTCAGAGGAGTAGTCACCATGCTCCCAAGCTCTTCTGTGCCTATGTTTATAGTTACAGTCACTGTGCCAATTTATCTTGTTGAAGATTTTCCTATTTTTTCACTGATCCTCTCTTTCCCCTTCACTATTCAGGTTCACGAATGCTCAGGATACAGTTCTTCGATTAGGACAACCTCTTTTTTTTTTTTTTCTTTTCTTCTCCCTGCCTCTTTTTAAACAGTCCCTCGGTAAGGACTATCCACTCAGCTTTGTATCCAAAGACGAAATTTGTAGGTGAAAGGAGTTAGGAGTTAGCCTTCGTTACAGACTGGTTCATTTCAGGGTCGAAAATATGGAACGCTTCACGAATTTGCGTATCATCCTTGCGCAGGGGCCATGCTAATCTTCTCTGTATCGTTCCAATTTTAGTATATGTGCTGCCGAAGCGAGCACAGGACAACCTCTTTTAAGCCGTGCTCAGTCTCTCTCTGATCCTGGGTCCTCTACCTGGCTTCTGACTTTCTCTGGCAAGTATTACAAAGTTCTTTTAGTTCTTTTGCCAAATGCCCAGAGTAAGCTTCACATATTTCCCCAGTAAGCTTCAGCCCAAGACATCTGGCTGTAGCTCTATGGCTTGATGTGCCTAACTCTGCCAAGCGCCTACAGGCATCCCACTCCACCAGCAAGCCTCCTACCCAAAGGCCTTTGCACTTTGAGGGCTGAAAAGTCCACTGAACTACCTCCTGACAGTCTCCTGTTTCTGCTGCTATTGTTTTTATGCCCCTGCTTCTCCATGTCTGCCCATGTCTCTGGGAAGAAGATATTCTAGCATAGAGATGAGTGCAGGGATCCTAGGTCCAAAGGGCATACTCTATACCCATTTCATCTTCTTGGTGGTCATCATATCCCCACCCCTCTCTGTCTCTGGAATGGCTCATTCTAAGTTTAGTGGAATGGTAAAAGAGTTCCAAAGCTCTCCTTAGAGTTCCATACACTTATTTGCCTGGTACCTCCATGGAAGGAATGACAAATTGAAGACAAATGATGTTGCATTCATGTGAAAGAGCATTTCTTTTAGACAGAAAACCCACCCTCTCTGTAAATCTTGGTTAAAATCACAATAAAAATCACATAAACAAAAGAGCATTTCAAGATCAATCCTGAAAAAAAAATGAAAAAAAAATTTAAAAAAATAAAAAAAAGATCAATCCTGAAGTGTAACACTGTCAATGATATGCATATCCATAAACATTCAGGGAAGGCATGTCCCTAGTTGGATAACTATTATCCAAGTTTACACACTGAATATTAAAGGCAAACCTAAAGAAATTGAAGCTCTCTACCAATGTCTACAGTCTGAAATGGATCAAATATGCAACTAAAATGCATTAAGAAACAGGTGATTGAAAGCCAAAAGTCATAAACAAAGTAGGATTGTTGTGTGCTGTTGAGTCAGACATGACACAAAGTGACCTTATGAATAGCAAATCTGAACCCTGTCCTATCCTGTACCATCCTCATCATTTCCAACACACTTAAGCCCATTACAGAAGTCACTGTGTCACTCCATCACGTTGAGGGTCTTCCTCTCCCTTGCCGACCCTCTACCTTTCCAAGCGTGACATCTCCTTCCAAGGAATAATGTCTCCTAACAACAAGCCCAAAATATGTGAGACAAAGCTTCACCATCCTTGCCTCCAAGGAGGTCTCTGGCCACATTTTCTCCAAGACATGTCTGTTTATTCTTTTTGCAGTCCAAGGGAAATTCAGTACTTTTTGCCAACACCATAATGCAAAGACATCAATTCTCCTTCTGTTGTCCTTATTCATAGTCCAGCTCTCAGGTGCATAACAGGTGATTGGAAAGACTATGGCTTGAATCAGGTGCACATTTGTCTTAGAAGAAGGATTGGTGGTTGGAAAACATGGCCTTGGTGATAGAAATGAGGCTGTATATCACAGAATGAAATGTTGTAGGACCAGTTACTTATTCATTGTGCATATCTTTTCAAAATAAGCTCAAATGATAACTACACATGTGAACTGCGTGTGATAAAACACACAGGAATCAAATCCACTACATCTGTGAGGACAGCAAGGACACTCTACATGATCAGTCAAACAAAGCCATGGGCCAACTGTGGCTCAGACCATCAATTACTCATATATAAGTTGAAGATGAAGATGAAGGAAATTCTAAAACCATACAAGAGCCAAAGATATATCTTGGGTTTATCCCACCCAAACTTAGAGACCATCTCAAGAATAGATTTGATGCACTTAGCACAAATGATAGCATACCAGATAAGTTGTGAATGGCATTAAGAACATTTAGGTGGGCATGGGTGGGTCAGCACTCTCTTAGAGGCGAGGCAGTCTCCTTCCAATAATCACTTGCACATGGAGAAAGTAAATGATCATTTAAAAGACAAGAAAGAAAGAAAAGCCTAAATTAGATGTCAGAATAGACTCTGAAACTTGTTATATAATACAGAGAAGCTAAAGCAAATGGGAGAATGATGAACTAAGAGAGTTAAACAGAAGATTTCAAAGGTGACTTAAAAAAAAAGTATTACAACTGACACCCAAGCAGATATATGCACACCCATGT